AAATATTTCATCCCTCCCCAGGTATAATATATAACACACTGTGATTTCTGGTTCCCCCCAACTCCTTATGTCTGATCTCAGGCCTCAATAACATTGTTCATCCTTTGCCTAAAGCGAAACCAAAGATCTCCTATTAAGAAGCAGCATGGTTGGGAGGAACAGAAGTCTTTTGGAGTTAGAAGGGCATGACCTGAGATCTGGAGGGCATGGATACCTATGGTATGATAAAACTAAGGTTAATGTAGATTTTAAAAATCATTTTGTTAGATGTGCCATATTGAGAATATGGAATAGATACAAACCCAGATCATGCCTGAAAATACCTTTGTGGCTCTCAGTACAAGAAGCATATTACACAAATGGCTAACTTATGGTGGCCTACTAGAATTTTGTCAAGAGGAATGTAAAATAAAGTCGAGAGAAGATTTGGAGGCAGAAAGCTACACTTGTCATTGGTTTACTTATGTACAATTATCAGAAAGATTTAACATAGATACAAGATTTTTTTGGTTCTGAGCAACATAAGACTGAGTTTGAAATAGAACTCATGAACATGTTATTGCTAAAATGTATAAACTTTTATTGAAATTTGAAACAGAAGAACAAGTGAAAGAATGTATGATAAAGTGGGCTAAAAACTTTGGTTATAATATTCAGATGAAACTGGGAGAATATGTGGTTGAAAGAACTGAAATTTACAGTATGTTATCATCTTAAAGAGAATTTTTATAAAATGATGTATCGTTGGTATATGTCAACAGAGAAACTGTCTAGAATGTATAAAGGTACTTTGATTGAAACCAGAGGTTTTTCTTTTGGGACTGACTGATAAGCAGTTGGAAAAAAGTCATGGAACTTTATTTTTATATATGATAACTGCAGCAAGATTATTGTATGCACAAAGGTGGAAAGATTTGATACTACCCACAATGGAGGAATGGATGGTGAAGATGATGGAACTTGCAGAGATGGCCAAATTGACAGCTTTGATTAGAGAAAAGACATTATTTAAGTTTATGGTTGACTGGAAGCCCCTGATTGACTTTTGGCGTGAAACAGAAAAAGATGAACTTATGACTTATGGTTTGGATGATTAAAAAAAACAGATTATAGAAAAAAATGAAAATCATGATGTAACCATAAAGTAAGAGATAAATTTATATTTACTTATTTATTATTTATTTATGCTGTAAAGAAAATTGGAAGCTACTTCTTTATATTTACTTTCTTTTTCTTCTCTTCTGTACTTTTGGCTTTGTTCCCTCTTTTTCTCTTTTTTTTTCTCTCCTTTCTTTATTCTACATATTAGTTTCTGTTCATTTTTATCTTTCTTTGTAAAAGTGTTAATAAAGTTATACAGTATATAAAAAAAGAAGCAACATAGTTGGATATCATGGTTAGAATATGGAGACCCAAATTCCAGTATCTACTCAGTCTTACTTTATGATCTTGATTGATCAATATTATGCAACTTACCCTACCTCATAGGGTTGTTATGCAGATAACTTAGTTCTCTAGCCAGAAAGACAGGGTAGAAACCATATAAAGAATTTTTAAAACCAGGGGAGAAAATCATTATGCTGCCTTGTACCTCTTGAAGAATGGAAGGTGAAACGTGTAATCAATGAATGTAATGTATTCATTATGTTTTATAATAACACAAACAAATTATAGGCAATTGTGTAATAACTTAAACTTTCATCTAGTTACTGGGAACTGGGCTATCATTCTTGCAGGAGAGCTCCCATTGGAGAAGAAATGGAATGGTGAGCTAGACACCACAGATCACGAAGATATTTGGGGAACAGCTACCTTTCACTGAAATTCATCCATCAACCTTCCTTGTCAAGGGACTTTGCTCCTATTTTAACTGCACGCAAGGACATGCAACAACTTGCATCAAAGGGCACAGTGAGCCAGTTTAATGAGGATCAGATAAACAGTGCAGTGGTGTTGCAGATGCAAGAATTAAATGTGCACCTGGCAATTGCACACATGGAGACCTACCTTAGGATTAAGACTATCCTTAGAGGCCTGTGTCTGGCAAACTATTTCCTCCCACAAAATTGCAGGACATTACTGAAAGCACACAATACAGTAACCCTGCTGGAACTAAGCTGATCTAAGTTCAATGTCTGGATGGGAGGCTGCCTGAAAACCTAACAGATCTCACTAAATCACGGTTTTATCAAGCTGTAACAGGGCATGCATAACACTATGCTATAAACCATTGTTTACAAAGCACATTAGCCAGGTTCATAAACCATGGGAAGCCAAAGCTAGACAAACACAAGTCTGCTGGATTCTTACACTGCTCTAAAGCTAGTATTTCTTGCCTTATGCTCCAGAAGGAAAGGGAGGTTTTTTAAAAATATTAAAATATAGGCTCAGGTCACAAATGAACATAGCACCCATCTCTACATCTAGAATTCTACACATTTCTCTAAGTACAAACGACAGATCTCTATGGCAAAAGGTGAAGATTTATCTGTCCCCAGTTGGGAATCAGTATTCATGTGAATGGCTTATGCCATGTGGTAAAGAATAAAAGCTAATATACTGCTAGTCATAAAACATTATGTGAGTAATAGGCAATAATTATAAAAGGAGTTGCAGCTGTTTCATAAATATATGCTTTAAAAAGAAAGGAAAGATCACATATTGGCATGAACAGTCTGTCTCTTGGGATGCTTGCTGGTTTCTGTGCTTTTAAGGGAAGGTTGAGAAAGAAATTGAACAGGAGGAGCTCTCTTGAGTAGACATGATGGGACGGTTAACTGCATAGTTTGCTGATTTCTCACTCTAAGTACATGAAGTAGAAAGAAAAAAACTTTGTGTTGACATTGACTCCTGCCCCCAATTCCTGCCTCTTTCCTACATAATAAACAGTAACAATGTTATAATGGCCTCAGTTTTCATGGACTTCCTCAAACGAGTTGCTAGCCCTAACTGGCAACTTAGGATAGCAAATGAACCCCAACAGGAAGAATGGGCAATGATTTCACTTCTAAGATTAGAAGCGTGCTTTTTGCTTTTCACTAATTCCATTTTCTCTCTGCCAGGTAGATCTGCCAAGGGAGGACAATGGATTCTCTTGTTCATGAGAATTATACCACAAATCTTTAGGATGCAAGAAGGCTATTCTGCTATTTCCACAGATGCTAGAAGGGCTAGACTTCCTTGAGGTTCCTTGAGGAACCATTTTCTTACAGTGGTTCCAAAACATTGGGTCCAAACATCCTGAACCTAAAACCTTCTAGTGACAACAAAGGGCAATCTAGATTGATTTATTGGCATTTATTAATTACAGTTCTTCTACCCTGTCTTCATTTGGGAAGCTTGTTAGGACACATATGGGGGTCTGCCTCATTTTAGGAGGTAGGTTGGACTGAGAGATTTAAACCAAGTTCAGAGTTAACTAGAGCAGGGTTCCTCAACCTCGGCCACTTTAAGATAGGTGGACTTCAACCCCCAGAATTCCCCAGCCAGCATTTGAAGAGTTGAAGTCCACCCATCTTAAAGTGGCTGAGGTTGAGGAACCCTGAACTAGAGTCAAGTGGGGCTAGAATCTGGGTTCCCTGGATTGTAGTCCAGCATCTTAAACACTAGCCAGACAAGCTTCCAGATGCCCCGAGTTACTAGATGACAGTCACATAGCACTCCTAAACTGGGATGAAGAAGGAATGAAGGACAAATCTTTCCTAGCAAAATACTAGCCCATCCAACTTCCAGCATCTTCTTGGCTGGTAAATGAGCTTTTGTCATCCAAATGTATTGCCACTCTATTTAAGGCAAGAGAAGGCTGTGAAAGAAAACTTGCTTGTTGTAGGAAGTTTAAAATTCTTCATGCATCATGCTACAACATGATTTAATTAAGCACGGTTTGCTGACTATGGGAGAATTGGCTAAGTTCACATATCATGCAAAACACAGGAAACAGGGCTCCTTTGGCTCTTCAGATGTTGTTGGATTACAATTCCAGCTATCCCAGCCAGCAAAAAGGGATGCTGCGTGTTGCATTTCAGCAGCCTCAGGAAGGCCACAAGTTTCCCATGCCTGCACTAAAATGACAACATTAGTTTATAAGTTACAGTGGCTGGATTCCCATAGCACGTCAAGTTCAAGCCAATCAAAATGTATTATGACTTAGCTTAATGAGGGAACCCAGCTATTAAGTCAAGCCACTGATCTACTGTATCTAATCAAAGGCTACCATATCCAGGTGGCAAAAATTAGGGCAAAATGAGATAGCAGCAAAAGAACTCTTTGTTGCCATCTAATGGTTCCGTAGATTTTTGCAGGCCAGATATGGGAAGCCTAATCTAATCTGGAGTACTCTGAATAGCAGTAACTCCCCAGCGAAGATCTTTCCTACCACTTCTCCATCCAATGGGGAATTGAACTTAGGACCTCCTTCGTATAGAGCAGTGTTTCTCAGCCTTGGCAACTTTAAATTCACAATTCCAGCTGGGGAATTCTGAGAGTTGAAGTCCACACATCTTAAAGTTGACAAGGTTGAGAAATACTGATGTAGAGTAGAAGTTTGACCAATGAGATAGGCTTTCGCTTCAAAGACAGGAACCACACGCATCAGGTCTCACCTTCTTCCACCTCTGTTGGAGCTTTCTCCCTTTCTGCAGGATCCAGGTTCCCTTGACTCTCAGGAAGCTCCTCGCCCACAGCCACCTTCTCTGCCTGTGGCCCTTCTAAGTCCTCATCCACTTCTTGCAGGAAGCCTTTCAAGAATTCCTCAATTTCATGGTCGGTCAACACAGACTGTGGCTCCACAGGACTGGGATTCCAGGGACACAAGATTCCCACCAGCAGGCAAAGCAGCAACTGGGGGCCACCGCCTTTCATCATGCAGATTGATTGTGATCCAGGCCAAGGGTCTTGGGAGTAGGGAAGACAAATACTTCCTGGAGATCTGGTACCTGTTTGCTGGTATAGGGAGAGTCTTCTCCCAGAAGCTAGGAGAAGGGGCTAGAGGCAGGCTAGACCAGAGGGAAGGAGGGGAGCATCAGCCAAAACAGGCTTTTAAATGGGGTCGAGGAACTGACTTGCAGAACGGGAACGAGAAGGAGGGTGAGCCAATGAGAGGCTCGCGGGAAGAACGGAGAGAAGTCGGTCTGGGGAGAGGAGATGCAGGGAGTCCCCCCGGCTCGCCCTGGAGCTCCAGCCGAGCAGCTTCGGGGTTTGCAAAGCTCAGCGGGCGGCGGCGGCGGAGCTTTGCCAGCGGATCGCGCCGTCCAATACCGCCGCCAAGCAACCAGCCTCGGCGTCTAACGGAGACCCGAAGCGACTGCGGATTCCGCGGCGGCGTCTGAAGGGGCCAAGAAAGTGGCGAGGGCGAGCCGGAGCGCCGGGGAGGGACAGCGCCGCTTCCTCGCCCGCCCCTTCGAGGTCTCGCTTCCTCGCAGCCTCCGGCGAGTCCTTTCACCCCGGGTGACTCTAGTCCTGCAGGCAGGGAGACCGGGGCGGGGGG